TGTTCCGTTGTGTTTCAATGGTAGCTCATCATTTCGGGGTTACGTAGGTTGTGGATACTCAGCAAGTATAGTGTTGTACAATTAAGACAGGCCAGAATGTACACATATCAGATAAGGTGAAACTTTACTTAGGACAAATACAGCAAGGTATATGACATTATGCACTAGGTCAGGGGTTTTCAAGAATGTTGGTTCCAGGGAACCCTGCTAAGCTCCAGTCAGTGCCAAGGAACCTCCCTCCCCACCTGAAACCACCCTGCTTTCATGCAACCATTTTCATGTCCTTCATGCTACATTCCCTGGCAATTAATTCAAAAGCAAGAGTACGAGAGACCAGCGCTGGATAGGTGGCACGCCAAAAAAAAAAAGTCCCTGGCGGAGGGTCATGACACAACTCAGCCGCTTGCGTCCAGACGACCGGCCACAGTATGCCACCATAGCCGCAGTGCACCACCGTGAGAGCACGCGCATGCGCCACGGCCGTGCTTCATTTTTGAACGAAAAGCTCAAAAAGCCATTGTGCCAGTAACATCGCAGCGTGGTTTAGAAAAAAAAGCACATAAAAAGTGCTGGAAAACAGAGAGAAACTCTGCAACGAGATTTGCACCTATACATATGGCATCAAAGAGACAGTGCTGTGGTCCTATCGCGGTGGTCTAGTGGCTAAGATACTCGGCTGCTGACCCGCAGGTCGCGGGTTCGAATCCCGGCTGCGGCGGCTGCATTTCCGATGGAGGCAGAAATGTTGTAGGCCAGTATGTTCAGACTTGGGTGCACGTTAAAGAACTCCAGGTGGTCGAAATTTCCGGAGCCCTCCACTATGGCGTCTCTCACAATCATATGGTGGTTTTGGGACGTTAAACCCCACATATCAATCAAGACAGTGTCGTGATGGTGACTCCATCGTCATCCTTTTCTGGTTGTGTGCTGGGTTTTGTGTTAAGCTAGTGCAGACTGACATGCCCCCCCTGATAAGTCTGCGCTGCAACAATACTGCCCGCCCCCTGCTTACTTCTGTAGTAAAAAAAAAAAAAAAAACCCAGGAAGTGGTAGCTACGCCTCTTTTTTTTTAAAGACGATAGTCTTTCTTGGCGACCTTCAACGCAAAAATTTTGGTCTGTCTGTCTGTCCACTCTTAACGGCACCGGGTACTTGAAACGGCCAACCCCATCCGCAGCGCCCACCAACGTTGCTCAAGGTTTAGTGTTCATACTTGTGCAATTGTCAATTATTAAGCAATTATTGTGCAAGTCTGGGGCACCATAACAACACGTATATATTCTGCATGTGCATTTTTACTAGAAAATGCATACATAAGTAATTTTAGGGGCCGTAGCGCTTATCACGCTACGCTGACCATACAACGCTTGCACGTAAAGGTGAGTGTTTCCAACGCTTTGCTAAGACCCGACTGTGGTGGAACCTATCCGTCGCCTTGCGTTCCTCACCTTATCACCTCCGAGACGGGCGCGCACACCCGTCTCAGAGCCACGTGCTTCGTTTTGCAAGAAGACTGCCAGGTGGCGCTCATGTATCACGTGTGACGTGACTTGATTCGCTCGTTCGCCTCCGCTGCACGCTCGAGGCACTCTAATGCAGCGCCTCCAAAATACCATTGACCGATTTTCTTGCGCAAAACATCAAAATAATTGTTCCCTTTTTCCACACGCAAGACTATCGTCTTTCGACGACATTTGCAGATTACATGCAGATATGGGGCCAATTTTTTCCCAGGTGTCCTACGTACGCCTGTCCACGGTATGTACGCACGTGTGTTGTGCTGCTATGCTTGAGGACGCGGGATCGATTTCCGACTACGGCGGCCGCATTTCGATGATGGCGAAATACAAGCAACACCCGTGAACCAAGATATATGTGCACATTGAAAAACCCTAAGCGGTCCCAATCAAGTCTGATACTACCACTACAGCGTGCCTCACCTCAAACTCATATATCTTGTTTGGGACACGAAAACCTAGCAATTATCGATGTTGAACAGACACTTTACTTTAGGCAGACACCGGCTAGCGGAAAATACTAGAAAACCGTGAGTTGGGCAAACAAAATGATGATTAAAAATCCAAGTCATCATTTGATACTTCAATAGCAAGGCATAAATTCCAATGTTATAGCCACAGCCGCCAGTGAAAAAGGTTACCTCATCGTCTAACCCCAGAAAGATAAGCTTCAAATATTCCTCTGCTTTATTCGCAGCAAGAGGCCTGTTTTCAGCAGAAATTAAGTTAAACAGAGGCATCTCAGGATAGGGTATTCATCGCTAGCGTACTTTTTATAACCGTTTTGCAGCTTGGGCAAACGTGCCCCCTCACAAATTGTGTAGTGTGGAAAAGGCAGCTCCCGTTCTACGTAACATTTTGCAAATAATACAGACTACCTACCGATTGTATCATGCACTTCACGCGAGGGATCAGATGGTGTTTGGTAGTAGTAGTTGTCAGAAAAAACTACATACCTTGTATACTACATAACAGCCTCATTTTATTTCGGGAAAACACCACTTAATGAAGTTCAGCTGTTTGTCCCTGATTGCCAGGGTTGCTATCTTCACTATCCAATAAATCTACCAGACACATGCAATTCAGTTTAGAAACCAGCCCGATAAAGCTAGACGGGAGAGCGAGAGCAGAACATACTTCGGTCGCCTGACCACTTGGATGCAACGCTGGCTCCTTTTTATATATGATTAAGAAGAAAAAAGGTACAGGGATACATCCTTCCTCATGTCTACATATTCTGGCACTTGAAAACGCGACAGTACCACCAGTGCCCATCGTGCACCCATACCACCTCTATCAGCCAACTCTCGTCTAAGAAAGCGGCTGAGAAGTGCACGCTTTGACCGCCAGGTCGGCGCTGCCCACATAGCTGAAACTCCAGCACTTGTTCCCTATAACAAAAATTTATTCACTGACATGTAACTGAAATCCCTTTCCTTGCACAAACAAATCGATGCAAAGTTCAGTCACACTCAGAGCCAGCCGCATGTTGGCTGCTGAATTCAGCCGATTCTGGTGCTTATTTTTCAGATAGGCTATTGTCGTGAATGACAGTTCACAAGCATATGTTGTTCCAAATGGTTACTGCATGTCAACTGCCTTGTTTTCCTCACCTACCTTCAAACAGGAGAAATGCGCATGGGGGTAATATAAGGTTTCCGAGATTCAAGCAGATTAGCTTAATCCCACGGCACATTTTCACAGTGTGGCTGGCAACAAGCTGATCGCCAGATTTACTGCGCAGCCTACATGTTTTTATTGCGCACTGAGATGTGCTTATTGACACTCGGGCATAAGATCGCACCTCGAGTTCACCATTTAAGCGACTTGGTGACTACAGATCCAGCGAAAATTTATCCATGGTCGTAGATAACCCAAATAACTGCCTGTGTAACCGTTAGTTCCATGGAACCCACTTAGAGAAACCTTGCTCTAGGCACTAATCCCAAACACTCGCATTAAGGTTGCAATAGCTGAAGAAGCCTGCCCCTAGCATAGCAAAACTGACATTTGCAATCATGAGCATCCATCTGTGCCAGCGCATTAGCCCAATGCCTGGTGTCATTTAATGGAGCTGATTCAATGTGACGAAAGTGCTATTTACTGCACGGAGAGCAGATCTGGACTCGCCAAGTTGGAGATATTCGGCTGTGGTAAAAATGACAACTCCACTAAAGTGTCAAGGAGAATGCAGTGGCTAGTGATGCAGAAAACCACAATGAAAAGGCAGCTTAATTTAGGGCCAGTGTGACATTCTGCTGCTAGTGACTCGCCAGTGCATTTCCTGTTCATGTAGGGGACCTCGTGTGGCTACTGGCTTGTGTTCATAAAAGCAATCACAATTGCTGCAGTGGGTCTTTTCATTTACTGCGAGACTGCATCGAATTTTCACATTAAAGCAAATGGTAGCATTGAGAATGCTGACCAGCGTTGCTGCAAGTCATCAGCTTCTCAAGTGCAGCATTAAGGCAATTGAATTTCTCATCCAGGTTGATGAGTTGGTCTCCTGGGTCTCAAGCTTTTCCAGAGGACCGATGAAGCTCCACCGCAATGGCAGGAGGCATACTCATGACTTTGTCCCTGTCAACAGTAATAGCTGCATCGGGAAGGCTAATGCTCGAGAAAGCATAATTTTTTTGGTCATGACTTATCAGCACCACGTGTTCAGTCGCCTTTCGTTGGAAGTTTGGTTTGGCAGAACGAAGAATTATATGTCTCCATAGCTCGACACCAAACACTAGCCTGACATTTCTTAACAAAGAAAAACAGCTTTACTGAGTGCATGTGTAAAGGCACTTGAGTGAGAAGTGGTGGAGGCACTTGGTGGTTTTGACGTCAATGGCTTCCTTGCTTCAAAGAAAGAGCAAGGAGAGTTAAGGAGTGAAAAAGAAAGAGCATGTTGAATTGCTGCTATGATGCTGGGACCGCTGCCATCAGCAACAAATCTCTTGCCACCACGTACAGTGATGGCTGCTTCTGGGAAAGCTGATAGCAGGTCATTACAGAACTTATCAAATATGCATGTTCCTAACTGTTTCAGATTTGGCTCAGTGCTTCAACTGTTTTTTTAATACTTTAACATACAAAGAAGTTGGTTATTAAGGAGTTTCAGATTTTGTGTACTTAAAGTTAGACGGTGCAAAGGAATGCAGTGAGAGATGAAGCTTTCGGTATGCAAAGATGCTTGGGTGTGCTATTTCTAAAACATTCTACTGTCAAGGCTGCTTGTTAGTAATTGATGAGGGTTTTTACAGCTTAGTTAACACTAAAAAAAATTAACATTATGCTGTTACACTAATGTGCCCTTTGTTAAAGTGTTGCGGTTATGCTATCCACATGACCAAAGACTTTTACTGCAGAAATTCAGTTACAATTTTTTTTTTACTTAAAATGGCATGAAATTCTGGGTCACAAAATTCTAGCCATATGTGAAAACATGCGATAAAACCCATGCATTAATATAAATAAAACAAGGGAACTTACATCTAGTAGAAAAAGGTCTAAGATGAAGAAGACTACGTGCAGTGGAAACTTGGCTGTAAACAGTGTTAGGAACCACTGGGAACCAAACATGTGCGTTTCCACTCCAAGATCCACAAAGTGGGCATACAGCTGTGGAAGCTGGTCCTGAAAGACAAGAAAAATACCGATTCACAATTACCGTATTATGAATGGAAGGCTGCTTGCTGTTGTTAAGAAAAAGTGAAATAAGTCATCTCCACATCACAGCTTTCCTAATGTGCACCATATCTGTGTGTGAAACTTGGTCTAAAGATCTGTGATTTAGTGCAATTTACAAAATAATAATTTTTCTTGATTTCCCAATCAAGATTCCATTGAAAACCATGTGTTTTTCACACAAGTAAATTAACTAGTTCTACAACTTGTAGTGTGAAGACCAGTGAAACAACAAAATAGAGATAATGCTTGACGGCAGTTATTATAGCAAAAGGTAACAATATTACAGTAGGAGCTACCTCGAGTAGAAAAGTAATGCTGCTACAGCTACATGTTTCAAGCAAAGTAACACATTACAAAGAAGAAAATGATGGCAGAAAAGCTTTTTGTTTGTTTGTTTGTTGAGACAAATTAAAAATAAGCACTAGGTAAAACATACAAATGACACAGACACAGGAAAAGCATAATTTACATTTTATTGGCCCTTTACTGAAGCCACACTAACTCCTATGTAAAGTGAAAAATGAATTCACAGAAAAGGGGCAACATGCAAGGTCTGCATAAAAAGTACCCGGAACAATTTTTGCCTGATGTGTTCACACTGCATGTCTGCTGTGGTAGCGGATGTTTTTCAAGGTACACAAGTTCCAGTTACCTGCGTGTTCATTCATCCAATATTGTGCTTTAGTGGGCCCCTGTCAAGCGGCTCGGCGCTAGTGCAAAATGCAGCAAATGATTGAACAACAGTATGATACCAAATTTTGTATCGGCCTGACAATACCAAACAACCAGACGATAAATGACATTGTGACAACTCCTGAACCACCTTACTACCCTGACTTAGCAGCAGCAGACAATTCCTATTGTGTCGTGTGACCCGTGGTGCTCTGTAAAAACACCAGTGCGGTTTACACGCGGTCTTACTCAACACAACAATTTCCTATTCACAAAAGTAACATCCTCCCTCAAAGAACCCTACCATAGGACTTTAGGTGTTGCAAAAGAAGCCTGGATGTATGCCCTTAAACACCTTGCTGAATTTGTCCTAATAGCAATCCTTAAAGACATGAAAACACCGTTCACAAAAGTGTGATGATCCTCAAACGATTTATATCTTGAAGACCTTTGAGGCTCATTGAAGAAATGTTTCTAATTAACCTATCTTTTCTAAACTTTTTTTTTTTATACTTTTCATAGAAACCCTGTATAACCCCCACGGGCATAGTTCATTGCTTTTTAACATAAGATGCTATGTAACTGTTGCAGATACACAAGCGCTCGCACAGACGCAAGCAAGAACAGCAATGTATGCAAGACTGATTACAATGTTGTCATAAAAAAACAGAGCTAAAAAATAGACAGGGATTAAGGAAGATGTGACAAAGGCGCTCCCTTCCTTAGTCTTCATCCGTTTTTTATTGCTGTTTTTTCACCACATGTAAGAACCACCAACTAGCCCAAGTTTCTCTTCTAGTTACCACATTGTCGGAACAAAATTGTTACCCTTTGAGGGAAGATTGTTTTTGCCAAATGAGACCCTCCCCCCTCCTTGGGTAAGGTTTTCTTTTTCTTTTTTTACCGATTTAAAAAGTTCAGTTTGTTCTATTTCGAAAATATACATACCGTATTTACTCGATTCTACCGCGCCCTCGATTGTAACGCGCACCCGATTTCCACCGCGAAAAAAACCCAAAAAAACGTAAGACATCAATTGCAACGCGCACCCATTTTTCTCGCCGGCCCGCACGATCACACCACTCGAAAAAACTACTCCTTTCGGGAGCGTATTCTATTTAAATATGAGGTACGGGCGAAGCTTGTGCCCATCTGACGTGTAACAGAGCTTTCCGTCACGGTAGTTTTACCGTGGACCGATGTCAGCACGCGAACTTGCTTCGCCCCCCCTTCTTCTCGACGGTTGTGGTGCCAGGCAAGTCGAAGTAAAGAGGCGTCTGATGGGCATTCCCGATTTGCCCAAGCAGGTAGCCGTTGTTGCGCCGCAAGTTTAGGACGAACCTCTGAAAACTGTGAAGCTTTTCATCGTACTCCTCCGCAAAACTTTTCGCATATGCATGTTCCCCTTCGGAGGGAAAAGCCTTTCCTCTAAATAAAGTTAGTTAGCCAGCACCTGCTCGCTTTAAACTGGCTCTGCATTAGACCTTTTTCCAAGACTAATTGCATAGCCCGCACTTCGAGCAGTTCTGTCGTCACGGGCCGCTGTGCCGCTCACTGCTCAAGCACATACTTGCTGAGCAGCTCTTTAATTTGCGGAAACCGACCCTGCTGTGGTCCACTGAAGCCTTTGCGTGAAGCTTTGCTGTCGAGAATCTTCTGCTTTTGTTTCCGCCGGTCCCGCACGCACGTTTCGGGAACTCCGAACGACCGCGATGCGGCCCGATTTCCGTCCGTTTCTGCACACGCCATAACTTTTCTTTTAAAAGCGGCATCGTGGTGCTATCGAGTTTTTGGAGTCGGCCCTTCCACACCGTCGATGCTAATGCACTACTAGATGACGAACTCCTCAGCACACGTACAAAGTGCCGCACATGGGAAACACATAGGCAGAAATGGCCGACGCGCCATGCCGACGCACGTAGGGGGCGGCCATTTTGGATTTGCCGATGGCAATAGAGTGACCGTAATTTTTTTGTTCGTACTCGATTCTAACGCGCATGCAATTTATAAACTCGCTTAACCGGAAAAAAGGTGCGCGTTAGATTCGAGTAATTACGGTATGTTCTATTTCGAAAATAGACATACTAGTAAACAGTGGTCCGCAGTCGTGAGTCAGACATGCGTACTAGTAATTACATCTGTGGCTAGCCTAGTAATGTAGAATAGTGGAGGAAAATGTAAGGAGCGAATTATTTCTACTTCTATAGAACGGTGAAATGCAATGAATTTCGTACGAAAGTAATGACGTGTTTGCATCACTCACCGCGTATCGTCAAGATTATATTGATAGACCCTGATGACACGAACATATAGGATACAGCTTTAAAGGTGGCGCCAGTCTATTCTTTAGCAGTTAGAAACTTCCCGTGTTTACTTTTCATGCACTACAACTGCCTGAGACGCATACGCTCAACATAACAATCACATAGAAGTAGTCAATTCGCAAAATTGGAGCGCTCAACTTGTCAGCTGACAGGAAACATCAAAGTAGGAGTTCGATCACTCGAAATCAGCAAAAATCCGACGTTGCGGACACTTTGAAAAGAACAATGTAAAAATTGAGTGAGAGATGAAAAAGTTAGGAGAGAACGACTGAGAAGGGGGGTCATCCAGAGCACTAAGTTGGGCTAGGATCGCAAGGTCAGATGTTCGAAGCTGCACTGGGTGAGGTTTTTTTCTTTTTTTTTTTTTTTGAAAGCAATAATGGACTTTCAAACAGTTGAGAAAAGGCCAGGCGAGCTACGAGTCATGTGAAGCTGAGAGCTGATAGGCAGTTAGGTGGTATTCTTTAGTGCTATGTTAAGAAAGTGCAACAGAACCCCGTATTTAGAGATAGCGCAGCAGCCTAGCATGCAGTGACAAAATTCGCCTCGACTGCAGATGCTGGATTATTCCCAACTGTATATTTACTTAATACATGTGATGAAGGAATCTTTGAAAAAAGAAATAAGAGGTGTGGGGTGCGGCCTCGCTGACAACCACTTGCCGATAATGCACTCCCTCACCAGAGCAGAATTAGCCGCCCTGGTGCAGTACTTGGCCACTACCTCCCATGACTATGGCAATTAACACTTGGCCCTCAGTCCCCAGCGACTGAGAATCAACTGTCCAAGGTGGCAGGCACACCTGCGACCCAGCGGAGGGTGCTAACAATCTCTGGGTCCGGACAGGTCGCCATTGGAATCTGAACTTGGCCACGTTTAATGCTACAACGCTATCTAGTGAGGCTAGTCTAGCTGTCCCATTCAAGGAATTAGAGGGTGTTCAATGGGATATAAAAGGGCTCAGCGAAGTTAGGAGGACACGTAAAGCTTATACAATGCTGAAGAACGGACACGTCCTGTGCTACCATGAATTAATTGACAGATGTGGATTAATTGACAGAAAAAAACTAGGGGTGGGTTTTTTTATACACAAGAATATCGCTGGCAACATAGAAAAATACTATAGCATCAGTGAGAGGGTGGCAAGTATCATAATTAACTTTAAGAAAAGGTACAAGATGAAAGTGGTACAAGAACAGGCCTACGCACCTACATCAAGCCATGATGATCATTTGGTTGAACGCTAGTATAAAGACGTAGAGTCAGCCATTAATAAAGTAAAGTCACAGTATACTATTCTGATGGAAGACTTTAATGCCAAAGTTGGCAAGAAACAGGCCGGAGACCATGCAGGGGGGCAATATGGCATTGCTGTAGAAATGCCAGAGGAGAGTTGTTAGTAGAGTTAGCAGAACATAATAACTCACAAATCTTGAGCACCCTTTTCATAAAACGAGTTAACCGTAAGTGGACGAGGCGAAGTCCAAATGGTGAGACTAAACATGAAATGAGATTTCATTCTGTGTGCACACCCAGGCATTGTACATGATGTAGAATGGCAAGATCCGATGCAGTGACCATAGAATGGTAAAATGTCGTATTCACATAGATTTAAAAAAGCAAAGGCATAAACTGATACGCAGGAAGCCAATTAATGAACTAGCAGTGAGATCGAAAGTATAGAAATTCAGAGCTTCACTTCAGAATAAATTCGAAGCTCTAAACGAGTTAACTGATGTTAGCGTGGACACAATGAAAGATAATCTTACTAGTATCATCAAACCTAACCTAATCTTTGAAGGGCCTAACCTAACCTTGTACCTCAAGCGAGCAAAAAACACCATTTCTTTCATCTACTTGGCGTGCGTCTCGATGATCTTACTTGTTCAAGAACGTCATAACGGCACCATGCAATGGAAGTCGGAGGTACAGTCACAAGACAGGACACTG